CCTTTCATTAAATAATAAAACCTCGGGATGTCATGTTTCGATACAGACCAAAAAGCATAAACAGTACTATTTAACCTTACAGTGGTTATTTACAACTACTGGTCTATAATCCATAATCTCTCGTCAAGTCAACCAACTTATACTCTTGTGCCATTACCTGTAATGCAAAAAAAACTGAGTGGGTCAGGCTTGGGAGTCTGGTGAGCATATAGGGTTTTCAACCCACAATAAAATATTAAATTATATTTAATCATCAATCAATAAACTAATCAATCAATCCAAATTACCCATCCCCATTATCTCCTTTATTTCTTAAGGATTTACCTTAAGAATCAACTATCCTTTATTCATTTATTCCTAAGGATTGACCTAAGGAATCGACACAAAGTCCACCACTGCCCAGGTCCTCAAATTACAACCGGTAAACACTTAGTTCAACATACTTAGTGAACACCTAGTTCAAAAACAGCTAGTGAACACTTAGTTCAAAATACTTAATAAACACCTAGTTCAAAAACACCTAGTGAACACTTAGTTCAAAATACTTAATGAACACCTAGTTCAAAAACACCTAGTGAACACTTAGTTCAAATTACTTAATGAACACCTAGTTCAAAAACACCTAGTGAACACTTAGTTCAAAATACTTAATGAATACCTAGTTCAAAAACAATGTGATAATAATGTATATCTAAATCTGGCAAGACCACTATTATAAAGTAACACATATATATCATATTTCTAAAACAATCTATCCCATCCTGTCGATCCCCACATACTGACCCTACACAATGATCTTACGAGATCTAGTCTAAGGAATCGATATGAACAACGAACTGATGCAGCTGCTTCGGAAATTCCCTGGCAGCAAACGAGGATAAATAAAGACATCAAATGAGGGGAATGGAATAAGTTTCACCACGAACCTCCGTTTGTAAAAAGAACCACAAGACAATTAAGTCAGGGGTAGTGATCTAGAGAAAAATGCCTAGCCGTGGTCCGAATATCGTGAGGTATTTTACCCCCAGACTCACCCTATCCAGCATCGAACTTTGCCTAGCAGTGGTCTGAATATCGCGAGGTATTTTACCCCCAGACTCACCCTATCCAGCAATATAACACTAGACATACCTATTAGTAGTCTATTACCGACACACTTTATTAGGCAGTCTACGAAGTTCCCTCAATTACTTCGTGAAAAGAAACGCTGACATATGAAGCTCGTCCAATCACTTCATAGAAGAAACGCTGACTCCAAAGCTCTTTCAAAATAAAAAGTATGGGGAAATACTAATAGAGTACTCTCGTACGCTCCCGTAACCGACACACAATAGTGTCAAAAAGACTTTGTACATGATAGTACTTCTGGCACATTATAGTACTCTGGTATGCGTAGTACTCGTACCCGAGAACATAATAATACCCCGGTGCAAGCAGCACCTAAGACACAGGGCTTTGAAAAGGACTTCGTACATAAAATGTACTTCTGTACGTAGGACATACTCCACCGATCATCGATCTCACCACACACGTACTCTTAATAAGAGTCTACCCAGTGTCCAAACTTAATTGAACTAAAAATCCCTTTTTAAGTCTTAACCCATCACTAGGCAAACCTACAAAGCTTATAATCAATTTTCGATACTATCTCCGTTTAGGCAACGCTAACTAGTGTATACTTAACACAGAGTTTTAAGTAATAATATCATATATATACACATCTTCACACATATTGAACCATAACTGGTTCGCACGTTGTATGTCATCAAATATATATCTAACACATATCTCGGGCAATAACAAATATTTCACATACATATATATTTACTACTTTAATCAATACTTGTATTAGAATCATGATCATGAAAGGGACTATGCACATGATACCTTATCGGATGAACACATAGTTCAAAATCACCTAATGAACACATAGTTCAAAAATACGTAATCCGTACTCCCGTATCTAAAATTTACCTCCTTACCTAATCCATATTCCCGGATCGGGTATGTCTAATCCATCTTAATAAACAAACAACATATATACACATAGTACATATTTTATAAGATACTCCATATCTATGTGTAAGATGAAAGTGACTATACACTCACTTGATAATACGATTATCGGACAGCACTACGGCTCTTCAAGCAGTATTCTTCGGTGAAACCGGAATGTTTTCTCAAAAACCGGACTTCTCGCGGGCAGAGCTTTGGCTCGAAACTCTTTTCTTCTCGGGATCTTCGGTGCTTCGGGACTTTCTTCGGGTCTCAGGATGATACCGGGGCTTCGGGGGTATAACTTGCACGTAAATCGAGGTAATACGGGTGAGAGGAAAGAAATTGAGCAACAAAACTCGGCTGGCCTTGCTTCCTATTTATAGGAGGCTGGAAATCTAGGCTCAGGTCGTGAGCCACTAATGCTCACGTCGTGAGCTCGAATATGTCACTGCGTTCGTCATGGCCACTTGCCCTGGAAGGTGTCAATCACCTGCTCACGTCATGAGCCACTGTGCTCACATCGTGAGCTCTGACATAGAGGTTGAAGTTCGTGCCCCGAACTTCAGAAATTCATATCTTTCGCATACGAGCTCTGTTTTCGACGTTCTTTATATCCACGCGTAGGTGAGATTATGCTCTACAACTCTCGTTTAGACTCCGTCGGCTAATTTTGACTTTAACTTTTATTATATTCTTTTAGCAGGCCGGGACAGGAAAACTTCGTTAGAAATTCATAACTTCTTCATCTGACGTCCGTTTTTGTCTGTCTTTTCACCGTTGCACTACTATCGACGAGATCTTCGATTCGCATTTAGATTATTTCGTCTAGAAATCACTCGATCTCATATTCGAACTTTGGGCTGCATACCGCTAAGTCGAAACTTCGAAAAATCATAACTTAATCATATGAAGTCAGATTTAGCCGTTCTTTTTATGCACACTCTCGGTTTAACGAACTCTACGACTTTAGTTTAGATCACTAAGGCTAAATATCGCTCTATCGTAAATTCACTATTTAAGTCGCGCTGTGTCGTGCCGGTTCTGTCGTGAAACTTCGACAGGTCATAACTTCTTCGTTATAACTCGGATTTCGGCATTCTTTATATATCCAGAAATCCTTGTCATGACCACTACAACTTAGTTAAGATTATTCATTCTAAATAATCTTCTATCAAAAAGTCATTTTTGATGCTTATCACCTCTAAATTGATTAGCCCGGATCTACGGGCGTTACAATTTATATGATTATCAAACATATAAACTAACAAATTTACTAGTTTTTAGTTCGAATTATGTTGAACTTATGATGGATTGATCTATTTGATTAATTAAATCAGTTCATTATATGATTGGTCTTCATATATTAGCTCCTACATTCACTTACCAACTTTTCTATTTAACCCTAGGTTTTTGGTCAAAACACTAGTCCTACAAATTTTCAAATCACAAGATCATAAGATCAAGTTAATCAAGAATGATAGATCATGCAAACTTAATTAAACTTAACAATAAACAGAAAAGTAGTTATCATAAACATAGAGAGATTCTTTAAGAAGCTATCATAACAAATAATCAACTTAGCATAATCCAATCCATAAATCAACTCATAAATAAGCAAGTAATCTAGTCTAAACGAAAGTTAGGGTATTTAGCCCATAACTTCAACAAAAAAACATGTAAAAACGAAATTCAACTTGTAATCCATGATCAAACACAAGAAGAATAAGTAAATATAAGAAGTATTGCCTCAAATCTCTCAAAATTAAGCTTCTAATCGATCTCTACACTTCCAAGCTTCCAAATAACGTTCTTGGTCTTCAAAAGTCGACTAAAGCTCCCCAACAAAAGTTAGGTTTTCGGAGTCGGTTCACCACGTCGTGGTAAGTCCAACCACGACGTGGTCTTTGGGTTTATCGCATAATCAACAAGTCTTCGAAGTTCATCGGGAGGTTTCAAAATGCCACATCGTGGTGGATGTCACCACGTCGTGGTAGAGAAACTTTCCTTCATTTGAGCCTTGATCCAAGTTCCTAGCTTCCAGCTTCATTCCTTTTCGTTCCTGAGCATGTCTTTTACTTCTACAACACAACATATAATAGATTAAATATCTTTTGTCCTATGATGAGCATAAAAATGGCTATATATATATATATATATATATATATATATATATATATATATATATATATATATATATATATATATATATATATATATATATATATATATATATATATGCACATATCACCATCTAGACAAAATCCATGAAATGCAAGACTTGTTCGAGGAAATCCCAACTAAACAAATCATAAGCTTTCGAAAAATCAATGTGGAACACCATGCATCGCTTTTTTCCTTTTTTTAAGCCGATCTCCTAAATCATTTTCCATTAAAAGCACCATCAAGAATTTGACGGCCGTTTACAAAAGGCGATTGCTCCATACCGACAACCATGTTAACGACTCGAGATAGTCTATTTGCTAAAAGCTTAAAATGATTTTATATTGAACCCATATCAATGGAATAGGGCGGCAATCAATTATTGCCATCTAGCTCGTCACTTTTGGCATCAAAGAAATGAATTGCGAATTACAACCCATTTGGAATACGAGTGTATGAAAGACACATCATACCAACAATATCCCCGTTAATAAAATCTCAATACTTCTTCAAGAAATTAAAACTAAACTTATCATGCACGGGAGGCTTGTTACTTTCAAACGACCGTACAATATCTTTAACCTCTTCAACAGAAAACTAGGCTTTAAACAAAACAACTTGAGCAAAGGATATCATCTTGAAATGGTAGGCTACGATTTTGGCTTTTCTCAACCTCAAAATGGATGAATTTTCCAGCAAAATAACAATAATAAATCATCTTTTTACTTGTATAGCATCGACGATCACTTTGAAATTTGATGTCATGTATAGCTGTTTGATGTCTCTTCTCATCTGATTAATAATTCCATGCTAATTTGATATCGGTTCATCTTCATTCAAAATAGCATGAAACATTGCAATACATTTTTTTCCTATATTGAACATTACAACGGAATTTATAAATTATTTATGATGATTTATTTTTAAAATACTTTGTAGATATTCTGTTCATTTCACCCCTCATTTCTTGCAAACAATCCCATTTCCACGGAACAATCCCTTGGCAGAACAATCCAAAGTTCCATGCTCCTTAATCATATTATTCTCTTTCTCTGCAACATTACTGGAATCGTAAATGCAGTTTGCACAATCGGAAGACAACAAAGACGTCGTTCTATACTTGTCTTCTCCTCCCACAACCGCCATAGCAACCCCTGGCTTCGCAGGATTCTTAAAATCCGGCTGATATGTCCTTCCCAGAACCCCTTCAACTCCATCCGAAAGTCCGGTAAACTTAAACTGCACTTCCAAATGAGCAAAACAGTCATCAGAAGGCACATTGTAGCCATGGATCTTGTCATCTTCCGCAGTAACTGGCACCACATTCACCAAAATCTCCACAACTCCAGGTATGTTCACCATCACACTGTTCACCGCAGAAGTTCTCTCCACTTCGATTTCACCGTCCGGCGACTTCCATGACGATAACCCACCAAGAGCTAACAAAACATCTTCTCCATCGTAGGAGAATTTCAGGTGGTCGATTCCGCTGTCCCAGGTGGCGGATTTAGTTGCTTCCAGGGAGAAACTGTGGGAGTTGAAAAGGAGACCCAAGGCTTGGATCCAGGTGAAGGGCCTGGTTCTGCCGGTGGGTTGGTGGCCGATGAATCGTCCGTTGATCTGGAGGTTAGAATCGGAGACCAAACTGAAATGCTCGTTGACTTTGCCGTGAAAGTAGAAGACGATGCTGTCTCCTCCGATGAACCGTGGGTCGTAGCATGCAGATCCTGGTGTGTCACACTCTGGTTTGTCTACAAAGGAGGAAAATAAATTCATTAATTAATAAAATAGCAACATGTATATTTATTTATTAATTATTAATGTAGTATTGTACATTCGTGTTACCTTTTCTTTTATTTTACACAATCTATTTTAAAAGATCTACCATCTTCTTAGCATTATATTTTCAACTTTTTTTTTCTAATTAAAAGAATATAAGTACTTTACAATAGTTAAAGATTCAAGTCTCCTCTACACGACCTGAAATTTAGAAGTAAATTAAAATATGTATGTGTTTGTGTTTTTAAGGAAAGTTAACAGATTTTTAAAATATATTATTGTAATATGAATAAAATGAAAATACGATGGTATAATAAAAAAAAGGTCTAAAATCGCATTGTATTATTATTACTACTATTATTTTATATTTGACCCTAAAATCAATTTGTAAGCAGTTAAGCAGCATACCAAATAGGTTTTACAGTTATCTAAAACATTAAAATAATAAATCTAAGAACAATACAGATGACAAGAAAATCAATTAAGGAATTCTTACTGTGTTTGCATTGGGCCTTGCATTTTGGAGAATAGCAATCAATGCGACAAACTTTAGTCTTGGGGTCGTTGGAGTTGCTTTCTGGGCACTCAGAAGGGCATGAAATATATTGACCCGGGCAACGAGACTCATGACTACAGTAACTGAATGTATAACCTTTCACTTGTGTAATCACACCTGAAACAACAATCGTTGCCAAAATGATAAAAAACAAACTCCTTGTGATTGGCATTTTTCTTTGGGTTAGTTATAAAAATAAGTCTTCTTAATGCACTATTTATAGCATCATTTGTAGGGGGGGCATGTTCCGTGATGCATAGACATACATAGAGAGACATAGCAATAAAATAGCAATCATGTTTGATACAAATCAATTTAAATACAACATTAAAATAATAGTTTTTCGGGACATGCTTTTCCACCCCAAAACATAAAAACTGAAAATAGGGGAGTGCGTGAATACTCACAACGTTTCGAGTAGGTACAAGTGGTACTTCGGAATGCACCAACGTCTTACTACCGGGATCCTACGACATCAAACACACACTAGTGAGTTTCCATGTCGAAATCTAATGCTAATGTACTAAATTCTACATATAGTGAAATGCCAATTTATGTTTTAGTATTTGATTTTATATTAATTGGTTACACTTTTTTTTCTAAAATAATGAAATTCTACAAATCGTGCGATTAATTACAACATTGGAATATAAAATTTTCCAAATTTTTAAGTCCTTATTACAACATAAATTCACGGAAATAGCATTCAAAGGATAAAAATTCTCAAACTTTTTATTTAACTGTTATTACACAATACTAAGCTGGGAAAATTATAAAAATGGATTTCCAAGCTGTTTAATTATATTTTATGATTTTTGAGCATTTATTCCAATAAAAATTGAAATAAATAGAAAACAGTTTCCAAAATTACCCAAACTTTTTATTTAGCTGTTATTATACATAAATAGGCTGGGAAAAATATAAAAGATATTTTTAAGTGGGTATTTCTATTTTTCCTTGTTTTATTCCTTTAAATAATCTTTAATTGAAGAAATAATATTAAACAGTTAAAATAAATTACCAAAATTTTTTGTAACATCATTTACAGTATAAATAACCTGAGAAAAATATCAAAAGTGGTCTTCATATTATATAATCCGGTTTTGGGTATTTATGTGTATTTAAGTGTAATTAACTTTAGAAATTAAGAGAAAAATAGTTTACAGTGGAGAAAAATCCTTAAAATTTTTATGTAACATCCTACTGTAAAACATGATGTTCTGGTAAATTTTCATGAATTTTGGATAATCAGAACTATTTTTCCTATTTTTAAACCATTATAATTACCAAAAATTGGGAAAAATAGCAAGGCATGATGAAAAATGTTGAAATTATTTTTCTGAGTCATCCATCACAGGTAAGGTATGCGAAAATTGTTAGATAAAAATTTCACACTCTCCAAAGTGGTTTTGTGATTTATTATATCCTAACAAAAAGAAAATTGGAAATCATACCAAACAGCAACAAAAATTGATGAAATTTAGAAAGGGGTCATTATCCATCATAAGGGTCATTCATGAATTTGTTCCGGATTTATTGACCTCTGGAAGTATTTTATGTGATTTATGCCCTTGGTTTCTAGCAATAATTTTAATAAATCAAAGAAATAATAAAAGCTTTTGGTATTTTACAGATTATCACATGCATGTGAGGGCTTTCAAAAGGAAAAAATGTTCGAAATTTATTCAGAAGGGAAATAGGGGTATTGAACCCAAACAAGATAAGAAATGTTGCATGCAATGGTGCATGAGATGTAATGTGGCTGAAGTTCATGAATTTGTGAAGCACATTCTGTGGGGTTTTAAGCCACGAAATTTCAGCCATCATTCACTGGATATGTTAAGTTTCTAAAGTATTTTTCCCCAGATTTATGGTTGGGTTTAAGGCCATTGATCATGCAAGGCAAAAATGGTGATCATAGAAAAAGAGCTGTTTGCGCAACCATTTTGTAAAAATTGCCAAAAATCGGATATTTAATATTTTACAGTAAGACCAGTTGGGTTTGAAAGTTAACTCATGGAGCTATCCAATGCAAAAAGAATATCATGATTTGGTTAAGGAATGACCGAGATATGGTCGTTCAAAGCTGAATAAAGTAATCTGGCAGATTGCATGTTTGCTTTGAGTGCATCCTTAGGACATTTTGACAAGAACATCATGCATGCCTTTGATAAGGTCCGATTTCTAGCACATGCATGGAGTGAATGAGCATCCAAGATGTACTAGAAATGGTTTAAATGCTTTTGACCATGCAAGAACACAAAAGAAATGGAGAAGAAGATGTAATACTTGTTTTTGAAGTCACATGAACATATGTGCATCATTTTCACTCCTTGCATGGGTTTGATCCCGGATTTTCACCATTTCAAACAAATGCATTGTGTTATGGTGAGAATCTACAAACCACAAGGGAAAAATAAAGATTTCTAGCCATGGAAAGGCATAGAATCCGAAAAGAAGAGAAAACTAAGAAGAAGAGGAAGTAGAATCATGAAATTATGGAAGAAGATGTTGTTGTTTACCTTGGTTTTGATCTTGAGGGAAGTAAGAACACTTCAAAGTCTTCAAAATCTCGAAATTTGGCAGAGGAATGGGGAGAATTTCGTTAGTTAGAGAGAGAGAGGAAGAGAGTTTGTGTGTGTTAGGAGGGTGGAGTGTGAGAGAGTGAAGAGAGAAGAGGTAGAGTGAGGGAGAAGTTCTAATGATTGAGTTTTGGGAAGAGGGAGCATGGGGAGGGGAGAATGGCCAGATTTATAAAAGTGATTTTTTAAGCAATTTGATTTATTTAAAAATCTTGTTTTTAACTAATTAATTATGATTAATGCATGATAATTTATATTTCTATTTCATTGGTATAATCCATAATTTGATTAATAAAATTTGATATTTGGAAGTTTATAGCCAAATTTTATAAAGTTTTTAAGCTTTAAGATTTATAAATTTGGATTTTTAGCTCTCCTAGGGTTTTTGGAATATTGTTTGATATTCATCATCATAATGAAGTATAATTAGAATATTTTAATTTATTTTTAGGGTTTTATACCCTTTTTCAATTATAACAAAGCTTGAAAGTTTCATTCAAATTATAGCATTGGCATTTCCTATTGTAGTTAAGCAACTTACTAGAATCGTAAGTGTCAAGTATATTAGTCCTAGGTCTTAGATGGATCCTAGTTTATGTAAGATTTTGACCTAATTTATACTACTAGGCCATGACATGATGTGCATGAATGGTTATTATAAAGATGCATGAGTCCGAGAATGACCTGAATTGACAGTTGTCACAGTATCGTCCACTTAAAAAGAATTTCGTCCCGAAATTCATTCTATGTCATCGCTTGTCATCGTACGGGAAAAGTTGTGGATACTTTTCCTTCATGAAGTCCTCACGCTCCCAGGTGTACTCCGATCCGCGTTTTGAGTTCCATCGAACTTTCACAATCGGGATCTTACTCCGCTTAAGTTGTTTTACCTCCCTGCCAAGGATTTCTATCGGTTCCTCAACGAAGTTTAGCTTATCATTGATCTTAATTTCCTCCAGGGGTACTATCAATGTTTCGTTGGCTACACATTTCTTAAGATTGGAGACGTGGAATGTGTCGTGAATGGCGCTTAACTCTTGGGGCAATTGGAGTTTATAAGCTACCGGACCAATCCTTTCAATGACTTCAAAGGGTCCAATATATCTTGGGCTTAGTTTTCCTTTCTTACCAAAACGCACAAGCCCTTTCCAAGGCGACACTTTTAAAAGTACCTTGTCTCCTACTTGGAATTCTAATGCTTTTCGACGATTATCCGCATAACTTTTCTGACGATCTGTAGCAGCTTTAAGCCTATCCTTGATGACAGCAATCTTGTCAGATGTTTCTTGGATAAGTTCGACTTTAGTCAACTGTCTGTCTCTGATTTCTGTCCAGCATAAGGGCGAACGACACTTGCGTCCATACAATGCTTCATATGGAGCACATTGGATACTCGTGTGGTAACTGTTATTGTAGGAAAACTCAATTAGAGGCAAATGAGTATCCTAATTTCCTTTGAACTCAATGACACACGCTCGTAGCATGGCTTCTAATGTTTGTATTATTCTCTCTGTTTGCCCATCTGTCTGAGGGTGGTAAGCTGTGCTCAAATCTATCTTGGTTCCTAGTGCCTTCTGTAACATCCACCAAAATCGAGATGTAAAACGACTATCTCTATCAGAAATGATAGATAGGGGGTAGACCGGGCAATTCCTCCGGAAACACCTCGGGATAGTTTTGAACCACTGGAATCTCCTTGAGTTGCTTAGCTTCAGGTTCTCTTTCTAGCACGTGGGCCATGAATGCAATACAATTCTTTTTCAGGTACTTGTAAACCTTCACGCTTGATACTATGTTTAAACTTCTTCCTGGCTTCTCACCGTGTATGATAAGGGTTTCTCCATTAGGGAGAGGCACTCTAATGACTTTCTCGTAACAACCAATTTCTGCTTTATTTTTGGATAACCAATCCATCCCTACTATCACATCAAAACTACCTAGCTCTATAGGAATTAGGTCAATGCTAAAGAGTTTATCAGCTAAATTCAGAGTACAGCCAGGAATTATTTCATTAGCCCTAATTTCATACCCATCAGCAAGTTCAATAGTATGAGTATTCCTCATCTTTCTTGATTTCAAGTCGAGTACCGGTCTAAATGTTAAAGAAACGAAACTCCTATCTGCTCCCGCATCGAATATTACTGATGCAAAATGATTGTTCAGGAGAAACGTACCTGTTATCACTTCAGGGTTCTGACGAGCTTCTTCTGCACCAATCACAAAGGCTACACCTCTTGGCCGCCCACCTTGATTTCCTTGGAAATTTTGCCTAGCTTGGCCTTGTCCATTGTTACCAGGCCCCTTGTTCAGTTTGGGACAAGCACTACGTAGATGATCAGTACTCCCGCACTCGTAACATGCCCTTTTTCCATCCTTATTCAGCTTACAATACTTCGGGTAATGGCCTGTCTGTTTACAGTTTTGGCACACTGGGCAAGCTCCCTTGTGATGGAAGTTACACTTATTGCACTTCGGGTGCGGTCCCGTGTACTGCTTTCGCTCCTGCACTTCCATGACTTTCTGTTCCTGAGTTTCACTGGTTCTTGCTCCTGGGCTCTTACCATAAAGTTTCTTGAGACTTTCTGCTTCCTCCCTGACT